TGAAAGGGACATTATAAACTCATATTTGTATTCATTTTAATGGTGACATAAGGAGTGGACAGGCCAGCATTCATGTATTCAATTAATAGTATCACTGGATTCCGAAGTTAAATTCTTGTTGTTGTTTCAGTTCAGCTGCTCTTATCTCAATCTCTTTCAGCCTCACCTCGTTTTGCTCTTCTTGGATTTTGTGTTTCTTTAAGCTTTTCAGAAGCTTTCTTTCTCATTTCTTCTGCAGCATGCTTTTCCTTTTGCTTCTTCTCGYTTTCGGCACTTCTGGATTCTTCAAATTCGTCTATTCGTTCTTTAGTATCTGTCATTGCCTGCCTTATCTCATCATATTCTGTTTCGATTCCACTTGCTTTCGCTTCTTCCGATTCCCTGGCTAWGTGTTCTTTCATCATCTTTTCGAATTTTTCTCTCACTGATCTTTGACTGACTTTAAGTCCCTGCTTTTGTAGGCTTTTTTTTGTTCCAAGACGCTCCTCTCTCTCTACTTCCAAACTTGTATTGGTATGGCTGTTCCACTACTATTTTCGAACAAGAAGCTTTTTCAGAGTCCGCTTTCCATACGAAATTTTTTTTTGGTGAATCCATTATCAGCTAAAGAATAACATAGTAAATAGTAAAAATACAGAATATAAAGATATTAGTTAACTTAATAATCTGTAAGATTAGGTGAAGTAAGACAACTTAAGTCTTATCTTAAGTTAAACCTTACGCTTAAACTTCTTAAATTGAATGTTTTTAAATTAAGGTAAATGTYGATAAACAATTTTTATAGCAAAAACCTTCTGTAAATTATAACTAAAATAGCATACAAACCTTTAAAAAAGAAATTCCAAGTGAAAAAATGTCAACAAAAACAAACGCTTCGGCGAGCCTCGGCCGTGTTTTGAAGGCAAAAATTGTGCAAGGAAAAATGTAAAATAAGCTACATTAAACCTCTTTAACTCAAAATTTGACACATACAGCAAATATTTAGATGGTAGTTTTTTTTACATTCATTCATTGATATCGTGTCGTTGTTCTAAAAAAAGTAGAATTTTACCTTTATAAAACTTGTACTGTACACTACGACTTTCGGGGAAAAACTCGTCGTTTTCAGGACAACGGCTACAAGATTTCCTTAGTTGCGTGACACTGTAACACTCGTGCACATGCGCAGTTATGACAAGTCGAAAATCTCGTAGTCGTACTCGGGCTCGTCGTCGTATCTGAAGCTCTCTATTGACCGCTGGTGGACAGTTGCCGGGAAACAGTAAAATTTTGTGACTTTCACGTGGTACACTCTCGACCAATAAGATACTAGGAAAAGTGAACTTTGACACTTGATATATAATAAAGGGTATTGTTGAGCTTTCCCCCACATTGTTTTAATCTGTTAATTCCATTGAATTACGTAGCTTTTTAAAGCTGTCTCTAAAAGTTTTAATTCAACTGAATTTTGGGGTGCCTTAGCATTTGAAAAATAGTTTTAAGAGCTGTCTTATGGAATTATTCAGCGGAATGCATGGTTTCATCGTTGAATACAAGAGCCAAGGTGGCTTCTCGCTCGGCCCACTTTAGTGTGTTTACGTGAAAATTGAAGTATCCATTAGCTCTGTACAATTTTTTTCCTGCTCATGGTGTTACCTGTGCAACAATGATAAGGAAATACTTCCGCGTAATTGATGACACTGCTGTGACGCAACTCTCTTTTCATGCATTGGGCTTCCTTTGTAACGAGACAGGCTCACCATACCAAGGTCCATATGGTTTAAAAAACCACTCTAGAAATCTAATAAGCAACTAGTGCTTTAGATACTTTAGGAATATATTAAAAGACAAAAGATAGCTTCTCAAGCTGATCGGATTCTTTTAATCCTAAACTACTATTTTCGTCAGATAACCTTATTTTATCTTTTAAAATTTAGACTTACGATTTCTCTCTTCTTGTAAATTAGACTCAAAAACCAGAGTTTAGAATTCTAATATAGTATTATCATCATCATCATCATCACTAACTCAGTAGTTTAGCAGTGCTCGTAAGCTTTGTTCTGATTGGTTATTTGCGAACTGTCGGTATCGGGAGTATCGGACCAATCACATTCCTCTATTTACCCAATACCTCTCGTGATTGGTCATCTTTGCAGACCGCCATATTGAATTCAAGTTGTTCTTATTCGAGTTATTCAAGTTCTTATTCAAGTTAGTCTTATTTACTGAAGTACTGAAGTACTGTTAGTTTAAGTGTTATTCAAGTCTTACTGACCACTGCTAGCTTTTTTGTTCGTCGCCGTGGAGCCAAACTTAGGCACCGAACACTTTGTTATGGTAAGTAGTTTGTGATCATTTCTTTTTTGACACCAATCTCTTGAGCATTCTTTAAATCTGGTTGTTCATCATTTATAGTGTGACCGCGGCCAAGGATCGTGCCCAAATTGTGGTGAAAAGTATTTCAATAGATACAAGCCACCAAACTGTACAGCTTGCAATAACTTTTTGGGAGGAACGTACACGGCGAGGAAGAAAGCCAAAAAGAACAACCCAGAGTGTGTCCTCGTCATTGAGAATCTGGGCGCCAAAATATATTCGGTGAAAACTCACCCAAGAGACTTTAGGTGTTTGGTCGTAGAGGAAAGGGAAATCTTTCAGTGCCATGCGACCAAATGCCTTCAAGTGAGGTCAACGTATGTGAACAGCGAAAAGGCGGAAGAATTCAAATGCTGTCACGTTGCCAAAACAAAGGGAGCGTCATCTCCACTAAAGTCCTTGCACCTCACAGGCGAGTTGATTGATAATTACAAATGCGACCAAACTACTAAGGATGCATTGTCTAATTTTATGGCCAGCTCGTCGTTGCCTTCTCTAGTTCAAGTTTCAGAAATGAACTATTGTGTAAACGGCCAAACGTCCGCAACAAATCCAACAGGATACTGCCATGTCAAGCGTGATTCGAATACAATACAATGTTCTTCACAAGAATGTAAGACCTTCGTCAGTAGGACAAAACATGTGAGACAAAGGAAAATTTGTCTCCATGTGCACGTCTTACTCTGCTGTGATGGGCAGATCACCGACGAGCAGGTTGATGATGAGCAGGTTACCGAAGATCACGCTGCAAGCGAAGAGAGTCCTTCAGCATCCAACAGCCGCGATTCAACAATTCGTCTCAACACTATGAGAGAGATCCCATACGTCATCCCGGAATCTATCTTGAAAACAATTATCGAAAACGATAGTAAAACTGCTCTTAAAATGGCCGGCTGGCCTGAAATGTTTTGCCCTCCCGAAGAACTTTGCCCTTTGTGCAGTAGTTGCCTTTCGGACCCAAGAAGCCACCCTGGTCAGAAAATGACATGTGTGGTATATTGCTGACTAATGGGGTGCCATTTCGTCCTATAAAAGTTCAAGTTAAATGCTGCCAAAATCTAAATTGCAAAGCCATGGTTCAAGTGTTTCCGTTTGAAATTGGTAAGATAGATAATATTTATTTGATACTTAATACATTTGATTGATTGAACAATATTTTTTCTCAAAAGGTTTGTTCAATATTGCTGATAAAGTGCTTCTTTCACTTGACATCCTACTGGAATGGAGGGAACTGCTAAAAAGAGGCGTACCGAGTGTAGCTATAGAAAGTAAGGTTGAGGTGCTATGCAAGAAAAGCAAACATGTAAGTTAAATATTGCAAAAGATCTAGAGATCCAGTTATCTTACAAAACCATTATCTTACTAAAATCCATTCGATCAATAGAACACTATGTGAGTTTATCAATAATTGCTAGAATCAAGTCCCAATGCCCTCACTTCGTCACCCACACACACTCTGTTGTTACTCCCTATTTTTCGCTCTCCACGCTCAAGACGTGATGCTTTGTGTGCCTCTCAAAAAGCTGGAGAAGCAACAGTGGCTTCAAGTCTGTTCATTAACATTCATTTATATACTTATCTGTTTAGGGTTAGTGTGGACACCCATTTTTATTGACATACAATAAGTTACTAATTTATTTTTTGAATAGGATGTTTCTTCACTGGCTTATCTGACCAATCTTTTTTACAATGGCTTTTACTGTTTCGAGGCAATGACCACGAGAAACATGGACGACACTATTTGTGGTATTTGTGGGGTGATTGGTGAAATCTATTTGGGAGATGGGAATGAAAAAAATTGCTGTAGTACATCAGAGGTATTTAATTAGAGAGTTTATGCTGTACTTGTGCGATTATGTATGTACATTGTATAACTATACCTTTGAACTTTTTTCTTTGGACCTGTTACGATAAAAGTTTGCAATCACAATAGTTTCAGCTTGTCATTTCTATGGCAACATTATTTATCTCCTAAGATTAACCTCACCTATTAAACAAGTACCACTGAGTAACACCAGCTGTTTTAAGGTATCTGATAGGTTGCAAATTCTTCTATTATGCTTTCTCTTTGAATGATAATAATAACAATACAAAAGTATCAATTTTTTGAAAAGCTCTTAATTAAAGTGGACTTATGCATTATTGTCATTGGTTTGGTATAACAACAATATATTGTTGTACATACAGTACAAAAAAAGTACATTTAAAAAATCAAAAAAGTATTCTATAACCTGTCATTTTTGCAGCTTATTCAAAGTAAAACAGATATTCTTTAAAATAGCTGGTTTTGCTCTGTAGCAGTGTGAAGGTAATGAATTCATACATTGCTTTAAAAAGGGGAGGTCAGTTTAGGAGATATTCAGAAAAAAAGTTTTTAAACATTAAAAATTCTTACATTGCCATGAAAACGTTGATCAAATTGCAAACTTTTATCTTATTTCTATCAATGGTTCAAAAATCAAGTTCATTGATCTAACTTAAGGCTATATATTTAAATTAAATGAAAATGGGGATAGAAAACAACTGTAGCGATCCACAATATTATTATTGCTTCTTGGCTAGATGTTTTTCTACATATTACATTCTCTAGTGTTTAGTCATAATTATTTGTTTTTATTATTACAATCAATCAAATTATGATAGGTTGATTATACCAGACCTCAGACCAGAGCTGAAAGCTCACAAGAAGCAAGTCCTTTATCTTTAGAGGAATTTCTTCTCAAGATAAAAAGATTGTGGGTTGAACGCACATCCTTCACAAGGTTGGAAAAGTCCTCCAAAGTCAGTGCATTTGAAGTTCCGCCCCTTATAGCTCCACAACTAAGAGCCAACAAAATAGTCAACACTGAATTGAAAAAGAACAGCAATTTTTTAAAGGATGACATTAATAATATTCAAGGTATGATTCTGAAAATTAATTGAGAAATTACAAAATGTTCTCTGGTACTTATTTTCCTTCATAGTTTTCTTAATGTTCTTTTCAGGTGACCCTGCTCTACTTCATGTATTGATTAAGAAAGGTCTCAATATAAGTGAAGTAGAATCAATGGATATTGAAAGCCTAAAAAAATTAAATAGTCAGTGTGGGATATCTGGTGATCTTTCTAGGAAATCAAAGGTGAAAAAAAAAATTTTTTGCACTCATATTTTTTATCATCCATGTCAGGTTTCTTAGGTATCTTTTTGTTATTGCAGCAACTCCTGAAAGGTAACATACAGAAACTACATGCCAGTTTGTTGGTTGGCAATTGCCCTTGTTATGCATTTACACAAGTCAAGGGGTGCACTGGTGGATTTTACCATTTAGTATGTCGACATGGAGTAAGTCTGTAAAAACATATTGTCATATTAGTTATAAATCGACCTCATTATTAACTTTCATCCTCTTTTCAGGTCACTGTTGCATCTAAATTTCTCCTACTTAGAGAATCAGTACGTGATGCCGCAGATTTGTACCTATCTCTAAAATACCCCCCAACTGTTTTTGTGTGTGATACTGCTTGTGGTTTCGTTCGTCACATGGATTGCAGAAATCGGGAAATCAGCAATCAATTGTGGGGAGACTACAGTGGCTGTTTTGAAATTCCTTCTCTGGATTGTGAACCAACAAAGGTACATGTAATGGTTCCCCAAGCAAATTGCTGCATTCCAATATTATGTTACATCGAACATTTTGTTTAAAACTGTCCTCATTACAACATTTTCATTTTAAAAGAGAAAGAGAATTTAGTTTTCACCCAAGAATTTCAGGCCTCAAATATGACAATAATAATTTTAACTTAGAATTTAACCATTTCCTGTAATTACCTAACATTTTCCAAAACATTGTGAAGATTTTAAAAATTTGCAGTGTCATTTTTTAATAGAAATCCTGGTAATTACCGTTGTCATTGATTTTCTTGGCATCCAGGACTGCTGTGAAAAATATTATTGAACCCTTAGAATTTAGAAATTATAATATGCCCCTTTCCATTGTTTTCAGGGTGTTGATGTTCCAGGCATAGTCCCTTCTGAATTCAGAACAGGAGGCACGACAGTTAACACAAATGAAGAATGAGTCCACCCACTCACTGGATCCAAAAGAAGATATGTTTTGGGAGACAGGTTCCATTCCTCTACAAATCCTCACAAATCCCCTCTCTGTGCTTTTCACGACATAAATAACTGTATGCAATCAAACACACTAAGTACAAGCTATCAAGAGAGTGAGAATAACAGAAAAAACAAGAGAAGGCTTGTAAGTTCCACACAACAAGAGTTTCAACTTCACTTCTTGTACAATTATCTGATGGACTTCTACCAGAATGAAAAGATTGTCCAACAACAACAGAAATCATTAGAAAAAAATTGTCAGGATGGCTCGTATATCAAGAGAGATGAATTTATGAGATTTGTATATGTACAAAAATACTGAACAGTTTTATTAGATTATGATAAATACATACAATTCTTAATTGCTCACTACTGACAGCTGGAGTATTGAGAAATATCAGTAAGAAATAGTACATAAACATTTCAAAAGCTATTGGTAAACTCAATCTTCATTTTCAGTGTATATCTATAATAACAATATGTTTGACAAGGATACCAATACAGTATATTGAGAGGTCAATTCATAATAATAGTGTTTGGATAATAGCTACAGATTGAAATAATCACTAATGATGTGACTGACAAATATTTTTTGGTAAAAGATATTCCTCAGGAATTTTGTCCCATATTGTACCTCTCATTTGCATTGAACCACATTAAAAGTTTTTGTGTGAAGGCATTTCTCGTAAATACAAT